TATTGTCTGGTCATAAGTGATTAATGTACACTCATATCGTATTTTTAGGTACATAAATGACTAGTAGATTATGACAGAGAAACTCATCCTTTAAAAGGGCCCACGAGAGTAACTCTTCTAAGCAACCTCAAGAAGATGAGTATTTGTTAGGAAGTTAAAGGGAGACTCACTTCTACTTGATCAACAAGAATCACTCTACCTTGCCTACTAGGAACTTATCTCATATGGGATGACCTAAAACTTCCTCATCAAATCAACAACTAGCTAGGTGCCCATGGCATGACTGGATTATACTATGAGTCACTCACACACATACACACACACACTCTCTCTCTCTCTCTCTGCTAGAGCAACCATCCTTCCATCGAAACTCAACAATAGAAAAAGCTTATTCAGGGCTCTTAACTCGCCCCATTCACATCAATCAAAGCTTATTGCATTGATTGTCACAACTCACTTGCCAGTTTCCTCTTGGTAACTCAAGGCTCAACACAAACCACTCGCGACTTTCGACCAACATTAGATCACTAAATTACCCATGCTTTGTACTAGCTCTCAAACTCTCCCAATACTCACAGGTTTCATGTTAGTCGTCTACTCTCCATTTTGACCTGCTAGATCTGTCGGTGCCTTCAACGAACAAATTTAGATTCAAAAATTAACTACTTTTGCTACTTTGAAGCTTGTTCAATTGAGCAATTCTTCATAATCCTAAGAATTTCCTCTTTACTCTTGGCATTACCTAGAGAATGGAATTGACCGCATGAGAGAAATGGAGCAATATTTTATTCTTGTACATAATAACAATAAACATTAAATAAAATAATTGTACATAATTATAGTAGGTTATCATCATTCATTAATACTCTTATCCTAATTATTTGAGATGAACATAAAATCTCCTTCTTCTTTCCTTACTATTGAGTACTGCATGAAGAGTTAAATATACTTTGCCCAAATCTTATTGCACGACTCATTGAATATGCATAAGACATTTTTCAATAAAATATAACTTAGGCATTACAACAGAACACTAAATTCCTCTTCAACCATGCAATCAAGATTATTAAGAGATAAGACGAGGAAAAAAATAAAATAAAATAATAATAACAGCTTATGTTGTCGCTTCACAAGCTTTTTCTGACATCAGCTTCAACTCCCTAATGACAATACCTTTCTTCCACTCCTCACACTCAATCTCATGCATAGAGAAAGTCAAAGCTCCTGGTTCTTCTTTTTCTTTAGGCACAGAGAATTTCAGTCCTTCTTCAGGCAAATCTACCCAACTGCTACGTATGTAATTCGATAGATTTACTTCAGTGGATGATACCTTCGTCCCATTCACGTGTAGTTTGAAGATTACTGGATATAAATCAAAACCTGAAGCTGATGGGATCAGTTTAATGTTAAAATACAGTCTATACGGTGTATTTGGTTCCAGAATTTTGAGTGGAATTCTTCCAGTAATCTCCAGCCAGTAGACTCCTAATAGCTCCATAACACCATAATTTTCTTCTGCTCTCCTTCTCCAGTTCTTCTCATTTCCACCCCAGATTATGTTGACTGCTCTGGTGTTAAGGGTCAGTCCTCTTTTTCCAAGTTTCTCCCACTGCAAATGAATAACAGGTGAGAATCACCATTAACAAAACAGCAACTGACCTTACACTTCAGACTAAGCTCAACCTCAATGATAAGATTCTAAGAAAATTCAAGAGAGAAATGAAGGAAAAAGAAAGAGAGAGAATTTTATTGAGAAAAAAGGAAAAAAATCTTAGATTGATATTTGTGTTTTGTATTTGTCTTTAATATAGTCTAAATTAAGATTTATCTCTCAATATTGCAGTAATGAACTTTGCCAAAGATCATATAATCACTTAAATTTTTATCTCCATGTTTTTTCTAGTGGTTCTTAGCATTTCCCCCATGATTAGTTGAAATTCAAATTTTCATTTGTTTATTCTGAGGAAGAAATGTATGAGTCGCAATAATGATGACATAAATTAACTTTCCTATTTTTTATTAAGGTTATATAGTGAATTGTTAATGAAAAATTTACATTAATGATATCTAATTACCTCTTAATTACACAAAAATCAAACTCCTTCAAACTAATCAGAGTGTTAAGAACTCTTCTAGAGCAAAATCAGCTTTGGGATGCAATGCTTAGAAGTTCATGGAATCAAAGAAGCAAAAAAAGAAAAAGTAGACAGATGAAGTGCTGATATATAGTAACTCGCCTCTTCTATGTTCCCCTCAGTTTCGCCCTTCTGATGATCTGATTTCATTATTTAATAATTAAGTGATGATAGTACAAACACTGATCCTTTTTATACAGCATTTGAATAAAATGGTGGAATTGCATTGATGCTCTGAATATGATCCTGATGAGTTTGTGCTCTGTAAATATATTGAATCAGATCTCGTTTGATTCCAAAGCCATCCTTATTCTTGCCTTGGAAATGAATTTTTCCCGTGGCCAAAAAGAAAGACACCTAACAAAGCATCTGAACATGTTCTATGAATCTCTAATTATAGAAAATGTTTAATTGACATTTGCCATAATTATGATCAATATTATGATAATCTTCTTATATTATGCTTTGGATCATAATATTTCTTTTGTCTCTCATGAGTTGCTTTCAAAATTTTTTTAATAAATATAATTTTATCTATAATATTAACTACTTTTGGCATATAACTTCGATAATATCAATAGATTCCAATTATTTTTTTTATCCTTTACCAAATGCAAAATGCTCACTAGACATTTGCAAGATGTTATTCTTCTAGTTGATAAGAATGGAGAGGGAGTTGAAGGTAAAATTTAATTATGGAGGTCAACCTTAAAGTCTAAAGGTTTTTTGTTTTTTGAGTAGAACTCAAACCAAATACATGAAGTGTAATTTTAGTAATAATAGATCTAGTGGAGAGATTGTAACTTTGGGTGATCAATTCATTAATAAAAGTACATGTTTTTGATATATTGGTTCTATTGTTCAAATTTATGGTGAAATAGATAGGGATATTATCAGTAGAATTCAAGTTGGATGGTCGAAATGAAAGAATGCATCGGGTAGCTTGTTGTGAGATAGAAAAGTCACCCTTAAACTTAAAGAAAAAGTCTATAATATGGTAGTTAGACTTGCAATGCTTTATGGTGCAAAATGTTGGCCATTAAAAGAGAAACATAATATTAAGTTAAGTGTTACAGAGATGAGGATGCTCAGGTGGATGAGTGCCTTTACTCTTATAGATATGATGTGAAATGAGAGTATAGGTGAAAAGGTAGGAGTAGCTCTAGTGGAAAATAAGATTAGAGACAGTTGTCTTAGATCGATGGTTTTGTCATATAAAACGGTGGCCTTCTGATGACCCTCTTAGTATAGTAGATGTATTAAATTTGACTTATATTAAGAAAGATAGAGGTAGACATAAAAAGACTTGGTTAGAAAATATTGAAAATAACCTTTTTTAGTAGATTTAAATGAGAATGTCACTCTTAATAGGACATAATGGAGAAAAAAGATTCATGTATCCGACCCCACGTAGTGTGATAAAAGCTTGACATTGTTGTTGTTGTACCTAAAGCAAAATGCTCCCTTTTTCAAAGTAAATTATGTAAAATAACATGTGTAGTTATGTCTCAACTATGTTAGATCTATAACTTTTTAGTACGCAATTTTTTTTAATTATAATTTTTTTTACTAAAAAGTGATTTTAGAAAAAAAAAAACTATCACAAACGAATCCTAAATCAATTCAGCCCAACTAGGCTTGCTTCCCCTTCATGTGAGGCATAAAGTTGCACAATAAGGATGATATTCTTCTAAGATGAAAACAACCTTATCATCATCTTCACCCTTGCTAATGACTTAGCCATTATTTCAAGCAACGGGCAACAAATCTATTATATCTTTGGAATTCATGATCGAATGCATGTTTTTTATCTCTAGTTATGATTTTATTTTACTGCATCTAAGTTCAAAATTTTAATAGTTATAATTACTATAATATTCATATATTGTAGAATTATAGCAATTATAACTACTACAAATATTTATTTTTCAGGATTACAGTGATTTTAACAGCTACGAATAAACCAACATTATATTGATTTTAACTAATGATATTTCTTATAACAATTAAAACAGTTGTAAAACATTCTATCATGATGGTCTTCTCTAGCCGTACCAAATCGTTGTGAAATGTCTTTTTTGTGAAAAATATAAATAGTGGTAATGAAGCGGCTTTAAAATTATAGTGAAACCAAAATTCTTGTTAGTGGCTATTTCTGACTACTACCATCTACCAATAGTTCTTTTTTAGTTCTTTAATTAATGCAATAATCAACTTTAAGAATGGTTGTAGTCATTTTAGAATTCATTGTAATGCTCAAACTGTTCTATTATATGTAACTTAATCGTCTTATAAATTAATATACATCAAATCAATATGCATATGGTAATGAATAACACATGAAAATATCATTAATTATATATAAATATATTAAAATTCCATAGAATATAATTGAATTGGTTTTCTAATATTATGATTATTTTAAAAAGTTCATGCTCCTTCATTCTTATAAATAGCTTAATTACATGGCTCCTAGCTTTGAATCCTTGGTAATTGTCATAATTATCGTGCGCCTAATAGGGCTTATCCTATCATTGATTTTAATATTCTTCTTGAGGGGTTGGATGTGTTGAATCGTGTCCCTGGCTCCCTGCTATTGATCTTCTTGTTTCTCCCTTGCCGGATGAGTGTATTAATTTAGATGTTGACCCTGTTGATCACTCTGATTGGATTGAGGAATACTTGGGTAATAAGTATTGTGATGGGGATATTTATGGTGGATGTTCTAATGTGGTCTTAAAAGATTTTGTTTTGAATGTGTTGAAAATTGATAAAGCTGGATTCTCCTCAGTCTTAAGAAAGAAAAATAAGAAGAACAAGGTTAAAAAAAAATCTATGAGCTTAGCCTTGTGTTGATGTTGTTGTTCCTCTATTTTGTCTGTTGGTTGCCGTTGTTGTTGTGGTCGTTGTTTTATATGGGTTTCATGTGGTTGTTGTTGGGTGCACGGTGTCTTTTGTCCTTGGCTAGGGGCTTTTTTCTGGTGGTTTGTTTTGGTTGGCTTATGCTATTGTTTGGTTACCTTGGTTGTTTGTTGGGGTTTTTCTCCCTTGGCCCTTTATTTTTTATGTTTGTTTATCTCATTTCTTCCCTAGTTTTTCTGCGAGTTGTATTGTATATGGCTTTGTGGGTGATTCTTGTCGGCTGGAGATGTTTTTGGATAGCTGGTTGTTGTGGCCCTTCTTGTTTCTTTCATAGGGCCCTTTCGGTGGTTTTTCTCGCACCTTTTCTTTTTGTTTATTTCATGTATTAGATTGAATCAATGGCTCATAGATTTTACTTTAAATGACGTATTTTTAGAGAGTTGGTGATTCTTTAAGGACTTATAACCGCTTTTTTAATTAACACATAAGCTCCTATGTGGGTTTTAACAAAAAAAAAAAAACTCTTTCCCCTTAATAAATATATAAATATGTTTATTAGCTTGTCATTTGAAAATGACATAGAGGTTGTTTACTTGGTATCTTAGAGGTATACAATAAAATATTGCATGATTATAACTTTTTAAGGTATTTGATATAAATTTAGACAAGACAAAATATTTTTCTAAGGAATTTGAAATACTCCCAAAAGGATTATTTTTTATGAATTACAAAAAATTTTAAATTGTAAAAATTGGTTAAAAATAAGAATAATTGTTGTAAAAATTTGTTTAATTGTAAAAACTCTGATAATTATGAAATATATAAAGAGGCACATAAGGAATCTAAGAAAGCATTATGTGATGTAAAGACCTTAGCTTTTAGTGATTTATATAATAGGTTAGATACTAAGGGGAAGAAAGATATATGTATAAGTTAGTCGAACTGTGAGACCTCGTTCCCTTACTGTTCCTCTCTAGCTTGAATTTTCCTCCCAGAATCGTCCAGGACGATCCATTTTGGTCTGATCGTTCTGGGACGATTTGGCGATCGGCCGGGCCGATCAGCCT